CATGCAAGACTGCTTTGAGTTTTGCATTTGAATAAGCGACTAACATTACGCCAGGCAGTATGTTCCTAAAAGCTAAACGTTGACCTGGGTCATTTTAGGTCGGTAACCTATCATCATCTTTAAGAAGTCCGTGGAAAATGCATAATACGGTTTCTGTTATCACTGAGTCCGAAATGGGCGCCAGAAAATACCCCATACACCAAGCCCCAGAGTAATAGAACAGGTTGGTTTTAGCCCGTCGAACCTTCATAATTGACCCTAGGTCAATGCAATTTGCTCATTCAATTGTTATACTGTCGAAGAAATCATCTCAGAAACGTATGGCTTCGTCTAAAACTCCGTTGTTGGATCAGAATGAACAGTTCTCTAGAAACTGGCCGCCCTGAAACCATGGTCTGACTTTTACGTGTCATAGGTCAGCAACCTTACTAAGTACACGTACATTTTTTATGGCAGACGATCAGTATTCAGTTGTCTACAGCTATACAAAATTTGGCGCAGCTGGCCATGCCGTTCGCAATCCATTCCGGAAAACCTTCGGGGGGGGGCTAATTTTACCTCCCCCGAGCACATGCCACCTTAATTAGGCCTACAGGGGTAGGTACGTAGTTTTCTGTTCATTTACAGTTGGTTCCAGCCCCACCCCATCCCCACCCCACTCCCACACCAACTTGGGCTTGAGCTCACAACCTTGAGAAGTGGGCTAAATCCCGGAGAAACCAACCTGTTGGCGCATTTTAGAGGCAGGTTGCATCCAATTTAGGGCCACTATACTAAAAAAGTATTACCAGGTCATATAGTATTATACATGAGTACATGTACATGTACATATAGTACATGAGTATTAAAGTCCCTTGTTTTCCTCATAGTACTCCCAGTGAAGCACTTTGGTACATTTGTGGTAGTTTTGTAGGACATTCATGGTACTTCCATGGTACTTTGGTACTAGTTCAGTGAACCTTTTGTGATACTTTCGGATTATATTTGTGATACTTTCGTAACGCCTTCGTAGTACCTTCATGAAACTTTTGAGACACTTTTGTGGTGCTCTCGTGGCATCATTCTAAAGCCGACGATTTTTAATACTGTATTGGCGGCGCTGCTCCAGACAGGGCATTGTTACAGCGACGTCCGCCCCGTTCCCTCCCCTCTCCGCGCACCCCGCACCATCCCGGCCTCGCCGCCCTGCCACGTGACACACCGCCGCCGGCTACGGGCGGACGCCCGCTGACCCAGGGTTGTGCGGCCGCCGAGCGCGGCAGGTCCGAGTGAGCCAGACGCACGCACAGCCTCATAGTCTTCCCCATTGCAACTTGGAGGAAGAAGAGCAGCTCATCATAACGCGGTCACACCGTGCCTCGACAGTCATTCCAACATGCGACGGCAGCTGAACACCGTCGAGCGCGACATCGCGCCGTGCCGCAAGGAACGGCCGACACCGCGCCGTGCCGCGAGGAACGGCCGACACCGCGCCGTGCCGCAAGGAACGGCCGACACCGCGCCGTGCCGCAAGGAACGGCCGACACCGCGCCGTGCCGCGAGGAACGGCCGACACCGCGCCGTGCCGCAAGGAACGGCCGACAACGCGCCGTGCTGTCATGAACGGCCCACACCGCTCTCTGGTCGCTGAGGCTCCCAAAACTCGACCGCCAGCCTCGTGAACGTAGGGGGACCACAGTCCATGCGCCAGGCCCTGGAGACACTGAAATCAAGCTATATGTGGCGATTCGCTGCACGGTAGAAAACAAAGATCAGCGGGAGAAATCAGCGAGAACAATATGACTGTCAGCGGTCATACATTGCCCATTAAAATAGCCTATCAGCAGCACCGTGCCCACCGAGTCAGGGGCCAGTGATACCATCTGCGTTTTACTTCCGTAGCACTCTCGTGACAACTGCGCGCCGGACGTCGGCGGTACTTTCATGGTGCCTCGCGGTGGCTTCGTGGCGTTTTCATGGGACCTGGAAGGTACTAACGCGTCACTTTTGTTCATAAGTAGTGTTTCAGTAACTGTTTCGTAGTACTGACATGGTATTGGCTGATGACCTTGTATGACGATTTCATGGACCGTGCTCCACGAGAGCTCCGATAACGTTCCGCGGGCACGAATAATCATCTGAGATTATTTTTCCTGCTGGCAGGGGCAAATGTCCTTCAGGGTAATTTTGAAACGTTCCCGACAGCTCACCTCGGCCAATGTGATCCTCCGCACGCACTCCAGCTGCCGTTCGACTGAGGCTCCTTTCTTCTTCACGGCTGGACCACTGCACCAAGGCGCGCCTAGCGAGGCGGCGGTGCGGCTCATCACGCGCAATGCAATGCGATTGGACCCTAGTTTAATCAATTAAAAAAACACACATCACACTACAGCTCGTAGCCCACTTCACCTGAAATCAGCCCCCTGCCTGGCACTGCTGCCGCCAGCTGCTTTAGCGCGGCTGCTGCAAACCAGTGTGATTCGCCTTCGGATTTCTGAGCTTGTCAAACCCAGTTATCACGCGCCCGGGTGTCCGGTTGAATGCCTTTCGCTCGGATGGGGGTCAATTTGCCCCTCCCCCTGAGATCTCCGAAACTAAAAGGGCTAGAGATACCCAATTCACTATGAGTGTTTGACTTCCGTGAACTCACTGGTGTCGAAATTTGAGGTTCTTAGGTCATGGTCCATGGGTCATATAAGGTCAAACATGGCGAACTCCAGATTGGTGCCTGAAGTGCCCCAGAACCTAGATAACTGATCCAAGCAACAGATCACTGGTGCTTACTTGAGGTCAGTGACCTTATTTGACCTTTCGGAGGTCATGGCGCCAAAATATTGCAACACTGCCTTAAGGTGTGCATTTGAATAAGTGTCAAAAATTATTATAGACAGCACTTTCCTTAAAAAAAAAATATGTTGACCTGAGATATTTTAGGTCAGTGACCTATTCTGACCCTCAAGAAATCTATGAAAAATGTATAATACGATTCCTGCTATCAGTAAATTCGAAATGACTACCAGAGACAACCGTGTCGTACCTAACCTTAGGTCAATGGAATTAGTTCATCAATTGTTGTGCTGCCTAAGAAATCATCTCAGAAATGTATGGTTTCGCCTAACACCCCGCTGTTGCATCAGATTAAGCGTTTCCCTAGAAATTGACTTTGCTAAACCCCCAGCCTGACTTTGACCTGCCGTAGATCAGTGACCTTACAAGGTACACCTAAAGTTTTGACATCAAGCGATCTGCTATTCGATTGTCTACAGCTATAGAGAATTTGGCGTGGCTAAGTCGCGCCGTTCGGAAAGCACTGGAAAAACCTGTGGAGCGTTAAATTGCCCCATCCCGAGCGCGTGTTAAGGCTGGCAGGCCGCTGGAACAAACAGAAAACGGTTAACGTTTGTTCAAAGTGTGTTGTTATTGCAAATGGGGCTCGGACTCACTTTAAAAAATTACCCCAACGTAGCAAAACCTGGTCGCACCTCCTGCCACAGATCTTGAAAACCGCTGTCCACAACAGATGGCGGCATGTACAAGTAGAACATGCAGCATTACAGCTGAAAATACACTTAGTCAAGGCGTATGACATGCTCACATAAGGCAATCCCTGAGCTTGGAACACTGGAGCACTTGGCGCAGGTTCGGTCCCAACGTGACTCATCATAACCGGAATATCCGATCGTTCCGAGGGCCAAGCTGGATCCCCATGGAAAACCACTGCCACTCAATTTGAATCCCTTGCAGCGTGTGCTGGCTTTTTCCATGTTTGGCATTTCGAAGGAGGTCCGCAGATGTCCAAATGGTTCCATCGAAGTTCACTCAGGCAACGACAAGGACGCGAAACTGTTACTAGCGACGGAGGAGCTTACTTACCGCGTGAGAGGCCAGGGTCTGTCTGTCCTTGTGACGTGATGGGATCTTGACGAGTGTCGGAAGAAAAAAATGGTTGAAGGGTTAGAAAGACATGGTGTTAGAGAGGCAAACTGGCTATGCTGAGCCAACGACCTTCAGTATGCCGGGAGGCGGTGGTTGACCGACGTTAAAGTGCTGCGCAACTATTGTCTCGGCATCACGAGTCGCGCTCATCCACAAAAGTCCCTCGTCCTGACTTTTGAGGTGGGTGCGGCTCGAAATGTTAAGCAATGCCGAAACAATCGCTGTTCCGAGTTATAACGTCGCTTAGCCAGCGCCGCCTGATGCAGTCAAGGTCGTTAGCTCAGCGTGCCAGCTTTGAACTTGTAATGATAATCATCTGTCTTATAAATTTAACGTAAGACAAGGGGGAGGGGGCGTTCCGTGAACTACGCAACTGCTGGCATCTGGCATACGATTTCCTCACGATTCACCGATCGTGCCTCATGCTTGTGTGCTTGGCACGTCACAACACAACATACCCCTGGGCGTACCCAGAAATCAGTTTCGGGTAGAAATACTCCCATCAGCATGCGCGCTCCGCCGCTGCGAGGATCGTCAGCTGACCGCCGGTAGAGAGCCGGTAGGCCACCGGTAGAGAGGCTGCGCCGGCGCGCTGTCATCGCTCCCGGCCGTACGTGCTCGGCTTCTCCTGGCTGCAGCTCTGCCTGTTTGGTGACGCACCCGCCGGCGGCATCTAACCATCTGCGATGATGCGCAGCGATGGCACGCGTCTCGTCCACAGCTTTACACATGCAGCTATAGTCAGGGGAGACCGAAAACGGGCTCAACCGACCAGTGCCGAATATCGCCCACTTGTGGGACAGGTTCACTGGTGCTGCTCATGGGCTGACTGTGCGTTACATTACGGCACCCCCTTCGACGAGTTTTGGCCATTTCATTCGAACTCGTCCAAAATCGGGTACGTTTCCAGACTGACATCATGGCTGTCGGTGCAGCTGCTGCCGTGTCAGGCTTCTGGTGTCATCTTACGATTGAGCCTGGCTATACGGAGCGTTCACATTGCCACCGTTTCGATCCTGCATCGCCATGCCATTGGACCGGGCGGGACCGGAGACATCTGTGCCCTTCGTGTTCCATCCAGTAAAAGAAAAACATTGATCATCCCCACCGTGAGCTCCTCCACAGCAGGCGGGGGGGGGGGGGGGGATGAGGAGGGACGGTGAGACCCTCCCAACTTAAGCGCAACTTCACGTTATTCCCATGGTCTTAAATGCACGGAAACGCTTTAAGGCCTTGCCCGCCTCTCGTCCCCTCTCCCCAACGGTTGATGAGCGACAGGCAACCTGGTTACGATGTATTGTGACGCGCACAACATCGCACCAAATAGAGAAGGTGCGGTCAACCGTCACCTCGCCGTTGAACGCTTGAAACGGGCCTTCATTCCGCTCATCAGAACATATGTTACGTTAATCGGAAGCCATCAAAAACCATTTCGCGTGATCCTGATTTCACGAATTAAAGCCACAGACCAAACAAACCAATGCCGCATCGGCGCGAGTGTGTGTCGATGTCATCGCACGCCTCTACAGAAGCAAGAACACCATGGTCTTGGGGAACAGCGCACGGAAACACATCAAAACGTTACAGTACACGCTTGAGCCGCTCCACCATATTGGGGTCTCAGCCACAGACTATCACAGAAGGGCATTTCACTTCCGGTGTGCACTGCAATCCCGGGGCAGTGCCCAGTGCGGCACTTACTCGTCTCCAGGGAGCTTTACTGCGAGCTACCGCAAACAGGTGGCACCCATGTGGTCATGCAGACGCGTAGTGCAACAAAAGGTAATGCCCGTCTGAGTGGGCCAAAGAAAAACAGAAAATAATCAGATAACCCATTAAACCCACGGAGAAAATCCATTAAGCCATGGAGAAAGCCAAAGGTCCCACACGTTCGGTCCCATTGGCAGAAATTTCGCTCCACATGTCATGTCAGCGGAAATATACATAGACCGAATACTGATATCACATAACACGTACTTCGAAAACGCCCGAACGAATGCATTTCAGTCGGTCGGAACAGATTCCTGCGTGGGACATTGATCCAGGAGACAAAGCACATTGACAATACATCTGACTGCGCCAAGGCAAGGCAGTATTGCCTGTGCCACCCCCATGGCTTGACTAGACACACATGCAGCCTGGGGGCGTGCATTTCAGCTGCACGGGGCTGTCCATGTCCTGGGTTTTACTCGCAGGCAGCGTGGCCCCAAAACGTGGTCCCAATGTTTCTAACGATATAAAAACGGAGCCCCTGACCACTCGCCTCTCTATATCCCTGATTGGGGGCCACTTACGGCACACAGACAGGTGGCTTTAAAACGTACCTTCACCAGAGAGCGTACAAAGCACTCTCCGCAAGTCATGATCAGGCCAACATGTCGCAAAATGCTATAAAACATCCGACAATGAGCCAGCAGCCTGACACGTGTGATCGCCGGGCATACCTCACAACAGACAGGAAGCCCAGATATCAGCCGGCACGAGTGCAAATGAGGTCAACCAAAGAAAGCAGAATCCATGCGCCAAACTGCTGACCAATAACCATTTGGCACAGCGCTGTGAGAACTTAAAGTCATCTTAAGAACTTAAAGTCATCTAAGTCATCTTAAACGGTTCGAAGCCTTAGGGACCAGCTGTTCTGGATGTATGAACATAAAAGTGCGTCGGGAAGGGATTCTGCCCAAAAAGGCTGAAGCGCCAAGGACAGCTTCCAATCTGCGTGAGAGCAACAGCAAAACGCGCCTTGAACGCTGTGACATCAATGGCTAACCTAGAGCCAATCAATGTGGGCCACTGAAGAATTGATGCATCATTACAGCATATTTAAATGCGATCTAATCTAAGACAATGGAAGTAAAGCTAGATGAACCCCGAAATAAATTAGCATGTGATGTAATTGTCATTTAACCACAAGTCCCTTACGAAACAGCCAAAGCTCCACTATTTTCTGACGATCGACAAGCGTATAAACACGCTGTCACGGGTGCATGGCTCTGCGGCAGTGAGCACACACATCTCGCACTGAGCGGAGGGCTTCCAAGTCCGGGCGGCGCCGGGTCACACGACGCCCGTCGCCGTTGACGCGCTCGCCAGACTGGCCACAGAGCCGTCCGGGTCGCGAGAGAACGCCGGCAGCGTGACGGCGGCGCTGGCTGGCACGCCCAGCAGCACGCGCAGCCGGTCGGCCAGCGCACCTAGGCCACGGCCGTGCGTGCGCGCCACCTCCAGCAGCACGTCCGGCAGCAGGCACACGACGACCAGCAGCAGCTGTAGCAGCCAGAGCGTCGGCGACAGCGACAGCATCTCGTACACCCACGCCATCGTGTCGTTGCTCACGAAGGGCCTGCGGCGGTGCGGAGGTCAGACTGAGGCGGGCGACTGGGAAAGGGCCGACTGGCGAGCTGTTTGACGAGCTGAGCGCTGTTGCGTCGCGTTGGCCACTCAACCGGCGACATCCGTGCAGGTTTGCACAATTACATTTCCCTACCCTTACACATTACATTACACGATTACACAACTACACATTCACATTACACGATTACGCCCCGAGCCCACCATGCAGCGTACGACGTTTTGTTCATCGGCTCGTGCTGTTAAGTCGAAGCCGGTACTGAGCAAACTTGGTCAAATATTATGTATATGATGATGTGATAATGCCGATCTTATGTAACTCAAATAAGCTTCATGGCGATGTAGGTTTGAGCTGATGGGACACTCACAGTCGGAGGAGCGAGTACACGGACGTCAGCCCCATCATCGCAATGCCGCCGAAGAAGCAGACGAAGAACATCCAGGTCATGTAGCGACTCATGATGATCATCTGAAAAGTGACCAGCAAGCGTGACTTGGCAAGTGTCCGCATCACGTTCACCAGACATACACTTGGAAGATTCAGTGAGAGGTTAGCCTTGTACACACCTCGTATGTATGTGTATCGCTCTGCATTCTGCTGGGCACCTCACAGCACGCGGATCTCGATATGTACTATGGCAATATAAGTTTAGGAATACGTGCAAATTATGAGCGTCGCTTTGTCTCAAAAACCAAGCGATCAACGAGGCTCGAATACCTTAATGTTGACGACGAGAACGATGGTTTGACAGATGACGCTGCCAAAGGCGTACACGCCCATCATGCGGCCTGACTGCAGCAGGATGGGGTCCTCTTTCCAGACGTACCACACCAGAAAGTAGGGCACGCCGGCGTGCCATAGTCCTGGGGGGGGGGGGGGATTGACGCAGGTTAGAGGTGCTGGGCACAACGCAACGCCGATCGGCCAAAAATGCTCATTTTCTGGCGGTCACGGAAATAGGCGGTTCTGGAGAACCATGTTATATGTGCCTTAAATGAAAAAAAACTGAGTAGACGGTGTGGACGACATCGGCTGAATAAGATCTCTAGCACTTCCATGTCGAGAAACGTACTAACACGGACAAACATTTGCCTTAACTCGTGGGGACGAATGCTAGATTTCCCAAAAGCATAGGGTTTTGCTGCCTGTTGGCAATGGGCTTTAGCGGCCTTTTGATGATTTGAATCTCATAAAAGGGATGGAGATAGCGCTGGCCTGCTATGCAATAACGTTGGTTTGATATCCTTGACCAAATACGTGTTTTATGTTATGACATTCCACCAGACCGACGTTGTCAGACCGCACGGTGCGTAAGCCGACCACAAAAACTGGTCGACTTAGCCCTCGAATAGAGCATCCGGCATACGGCAATCAGATACCGTTTAAAATACGTGTCAAAATGGCACATGCCGTATAGGCATTTCACATGTCACACATTTAACGAAGTCGTATCCCCATGCTGTCAGCTCCTGCGTCTGACCATCGTACACCAAGAAGCAACTATCACTAACAAGAATGTAAAACCCTCATTTAAATACATCGGGAAATAGGAAATGTCGTAGATCCTGTCCAATACTATCATAGATTTCCGTCCCCCCGCAGATAAATTGTATCATATACATATATGGTGATGATGTTTAACCCTGCTGACCGACCTAGCAGCGTCCACTTGGTAAACTCGCTCCAGCCGAGCATCACGTTTCGCCCGAAGCGCCGATAGATGTCAGGCCGAGCGGTCAGCGTCTCAGCAGTGATGTCCTGCTCCAGAATGCCGTAGGCCAGGGGCAGAGCCGCCGTGAAGAACACGTTGTAGAAGGTGAGGTAGAAGCTGTCGTACAGACTCTGCAAGGCAAGTCAAGTTTGCGTTACGTTGTTCGAAACCACCTTTTTAAAGAACTCCTCTTCAGCCAAGTCGTGCAACGGCGCCGAATTTCAGCGTACTGAGCTCACGTCAAACAAGGCGGTTTGAATTGATTCCGGGAACAGTGCCCATAGAGTTGATCTCAGATAAAACGGCCTCCATGCAACCTGAATGGAGGGCATCACAAGGGCAAGCATGGGACATTTCAAGCTACTGTGACGCTTTACCGAGTAATCGACCAACTAAACATTGCGACGAATCCGGGAGTACTGTGTTTATTTTATCTCAAAAGACTCATTCATAAGTGTAGCCGATCTGACCTCGACTCGCAATCCATATCACCCAGACCCTGACTCACTTGTGAATCAATAGATCGTGCCATAGATATGCTTTGTCCCCCATGTTTGGATGGACATCCAATCACATTTGGAACATGCATCATGAACGGACGCTGTCCATTCGGAGTCCACTCAGTCAAAAATAGCGTGACCTGCAATGCTGCAGTGCCTTCCCCGCACTTAGTCACCTCGAGGGCTGGGTGGTGGATTCCCACCCGCCTGGCCAAGTACACATACAGCCCTGCATACTGCTTACCATGGTGGAGAAGAGGTTGCTGAAGGCGAAGAACAGCTGCGGTGTTATGAAGGCCACGTTCTTGTAAAACGAGTACTGGACGAGGTTGGCCAGGCGCACGTAATACCAGTGGCCGTGCACCAGCAGGATGCGGCTGAGGAAGCGGAAGCGGCCCAGCGAGAAGTCGGAGCAGCGGGCCGCCTGTCGTCCCTCGCGGCCCACCAGACCTGGCGGCGGGGCGAGGCGGCACTGGTCACCGGCCGCGCCACCACATCGGAAACTTATCATTTCCTCATTAGACAGGATCTAGCAATCCCTTGGGATTAAACGCTAATACAGCTAAAATACATTTCCACCCTCACTTTACTTCCAAAGACATTTTCGAATTTGCCGTTATAACAATTTCCCTACCAAGCTCACACAACAAATCCTTAAATTCCAATGGGAATAATAGCATAAATCAAACTAAGGTGCCGAATGATTCTTCTTTGCCTCTTTCTCCTGCCACCTAAGGACCTAAGGACCCTGCTACCTAAGGACACCAAAAATATGCCGAAGTCAATAGCTTTTCCATAAAAAATAGCAAGCGATCGGAAAAGTGGTTGTTTGGCTGACCGGAAAGCGAATGTTTTGAAAACATTTTATAAAGGTTCGAAATACCACCGGCGCAGATCGTGTTCGGGCGCCCAAAACCAAATGTTTTAAAACACGGAGCTGCATCGCCGTTTTTACCCCTTTTAAAAAAGGTCGCTTTCGTTCTACAACTTTTTCAGGTGACTTGAGCGTCGCTTCATACCCAACACGAGGGACGAAACACGGCTCCTAAATAGATATGAAGTGAAGTTCCACACATGGCTCACACAGGCTTTCAGCGAGAGTGAGAGATCAGTAGCATTCACCCTTCTTTCGTCATTCATGCTTCATCCCGCATCCCCGCAGAACCCCGTCTACTGGGGGCAAGCTGCATGTATCATCTGCGCATGGGTGTGCCACCCAGCAGGAGCTCCGCCAGTCAATACACATACCCTGAAGGGGGGTCCCAGCGCAGGCTAAGTCACTGTAACAAAGCTTCCAGATGCATGCAGTCTTGCCCGCCAGTATCAACACTTCCTCATCTCATGGTGCGAATACAGCACTCCAATGGAAACGGCGCTGATACACGCGTGATAATAAAAAAATCCGTAACATATGGTGAAGCAACGCACCATGCAGGTTCCTCCTCGATACTTCTCCACACCATGTGGGATATCACAGTGTCGGCTTCTTCAGTTATATTCTCCACATCGTGGTGGAAAGTCCATAAGCTGACATTCAGTTTGGCATTCCCAGGCCAACGCCACATTTTTCGCTGTCAGTAAGCAGTCAAAAATGGGGCTGTTTGGTTGTGCTAGGACATGCTACGCACTGCTATCAACTCACTTCATTTTGTTACTTTCAGCTGCCTCTTCCTTTCATGTTTTTCTTTTTCATTCCTACAACGTCTTCAGTAGAACGCAGAAGTTTGTGGCATTTCCTTGCGGTCACCTTATTGCACCCCGTCAACCTTTCAGCACCATACATCACCCAGGAGCGGTTGCACGGGTCGAGTTGTGGGAGACATATGAGACAGATGTCGGCCTCACCAGATAAAAACATTTATAAACTTCTTACTGGTACTGACAGTCAACATTTTTAATAAAGTATTCCTTTATGTCGTCAAATATTCTGTAAAACACCGTTCACCAAATGCGCGTAAAATTTCGAAGTGAAGCGCACATGCGGGGACGCAGCAGCAGGATAATATAGTGAAGAATTTAACCATGGCTTCAGTGAGGAACGCAGCGTGTACTTGCTCATGTGACAGCCGCTGGCCAACACCAGCCTTATCTGTGGTGCTGAGCGCAGAAAAGTTGCACAGGCAGATGAAGGGGTCGCTGGAGGTGATTCCGGGAAAGGCTTAATGAGGACCAAGGTTCGCATAGTTATTACTTAAGTTAATCTCACTCAGGTTAGTTGACCACCTCATTAATTGACAACAAACTGTCTGTGACGCTCCAACACACACATCTCCAGGCACTCCAGGGCTGTATCCAATTTATTTTTCTTCCATTTATGGCATCCAAGTCAGTCACCAAGTCGGTCACTGGTGTCCTCCAGACAGGTGTTCAAATAAAGAAAGTCTGGACCATTAGCATGGGTCCGAGAGTTCTCCCATCATGAATGGTCCCAAATATCCCGAGGTCTCGTAAGGCTGGATCGACCCAAAACGAACTGCATAACGTATAGCACAAAACAGATTAAGTCAATTTTCAATGCGTTTCCAGTGTGCCAGACCTTCCGAACTCAGGTGCTGTGAAATTTGGATATCAAAGGAAGTATCCCATCTTTTTATGCTTTTCACTTAGTGTTACATCAGACGCGTACGATTTTAACAGCAATATCAGAGTTCTCAAAAATCCTTCTGCATACCTCAAAATTTCGATTTGAAGTAGCCAACGGTCGGCCATGCGAGATAAATCTCACTTAATTCCTGCTCAGCACTACAAAAGTTACACATTTCATTTCCCTTGCTTTTGCAACGTGTGTGTTCTGTAATGTTTGCAACACACTTGTAAGTCAAAATGCTTGTGTAATGAATGCCACGAAAGATGGAGATTCTGTTCAGACAAAGGATGCATGCGAATATGAAGCTATTACTCCGTGAACTCAACGAAACATACTAGGACATTAATTTCTTCCCCACGGCGTTTACCACTGGTTCAAATGTAAACCAATACGCTTCCCGGTAGCAGGTCTTTGCCCGCTGAGCCGATTACACAGCGCTGACAGCGTAATTTGGACTCGCAAATGACTGAAATGGATATCCTTTATTATGTCTTGACGGTGCTGCGCTGTCACTACCCAGTGCTATCTTGAAGCGTGACTAGTCCTGAGCTTTTACTAGAGTATGTTTTGAAATTGTCCGAAGATGGGACATTCGATTCGCCCTAACTACCGTCGTGATGGGGAGAGGAGGTGGTGCACACACACCCTCCCCATACTTTTCTGAGGATGTCTCGCCAGCACGCGGTTCCAACAAGCCCAAATTGTGCACAAATTCTGGGGCATTGCGTGTGCTTCGACTAGAAAACCGCGTCTCTATCATGTCTGGAATCTGAGTAGCCACGATCTTTAGGAACACTGCACGGCGACGTTCGGCTGGCGCGGCGGAGGCCGGCGACCGACAGGGTCGCCGATGGTGCGCGGCGGGCCGACACTGTTATGTTCTCGGATATCAATATCAGAAGCATAGGCTCAAAAACACACGACGCTTGATATCGATGTGCTCAAATTACACACGGATCACGTCTGTGAAATTTTATGTCGTGACACAGCATGGTGTTAGAAATATTGGCATGTAAGGTTGCAAAAGTTTGATTTTCAAATGGCTCAAAACATTGACTTTTGACCTGACCTGGCGGGTTACTCTCGCGGACCTAGCTAAATAAAATTTATAAGCAATCATGCGATTTCGTTTAGACAATACCAGTTTTCCACGAAGGGCTCACCTTAGTTTAGAAAGGGCAGGGGGTTACATCGATCGAATGCCCGACATCCTATCGGTCCGCATTATGAAAACGGCAAACCAGGGTAACGTTTGATATTATGTTATTCCTCCCTACCATCGTATTTCACACGGAACACTATAGAGTTCGAGCCTGATGAAAACTGGACATTTGATATCAGTCATAAAGTGATGAAAGCCATCTAGATTTGTATTTACGAGGCAGGCCTCGGGCCACGAGCTATATCATGGGGGCCGCCGGTTATATCCGCATGTACCAAAAAATAAAAATAAAATAAAATAAACAGTGCAATTAGGCATCGGCTGACAGAGGTCACTGACCGAAGCCGACGTGTGCCTCCTGGATCATGGAGACGTCGTTGGCGCCGTCTCCAATGGCTGATGTTACCGGCCGCTCCTTGGAGTACTTGACCAGCTTCACCACCTGCCGATGAACGTCACGACGTTAGCAAGGAAGCATGTAGATGTCACAATGGTAAGATATCACAGACGCGTGAGATGGCACTGATGATTCTGTTGGGACACACGCTCTATCTACCCCTTCCTCACGCTCCTACAACTTCGCGGCTGAAAACTAAGGCATGAGATACATCGGAGCACGCTACCTGCATTATATCGACTCATCGCTCAATAACGTATCGCTAAAACAGCCCTGGCTTTATGGTTTCTCCATGTTTACCAAACGCCGCCAAACGCCAGACCCAGGTAGTCGTTGCAAGACCACGGTAACCGGACCCGTTATTCAGGGTCATCGTCGCTCAGGAGGAAAGCGCGCATGATTTTGGGCTACCTTGGTCGATCCCTCTGATCCGTCATCATTTGGGTGCAGATTACATAGCACTGGACATGACATAGCCTTGCTCTGTGCACATAAAACAGCACACATCGGACACAACTGATCGGTTCGCCATGGATTGACTCAATTATTGCTCATCCGACTACTCTAAAATGTGACCTCTTATCGGTACGGTGTCGGGCGGTCTTCGGTGGCACCGCCACGAGGAGCGTAGCAACTCCAGTGTTCCGCCACTATCGGTGGCAACGGACCCCACCCACCTCTGCCTTCTGCATGGGCGACATGCGGCAGCAGACCACCGCCTGACACCTGGTGGCGACTCCCAGAAGCTGGTGCCGGGTGGCGCTGTTGTGCAGCGCCGCCGAGAGGCTCTCACCGTCCATGACCAGGCCGAAGTTGTTATACGGCTGCCCGTGCGTCAGCGCACTGAAACATACCGGGGCAGCCTGAAGGACCGCGCTGAAGTACTGCTGAAGGACTGGAGGTGAAGGACCGCGCTTCCTCAGTCGACGGGGCGCCGCCGCCTGCGGACGGACACGGAACAGCCCAGCCCGGCCCGGCTCATACACAAACATGACTAGTTGGACGAGCAGGTGCGGAGCTGCAGACGCTTCGGGGTGATGAGCAGGGCAGCCGCACCGGCTACTTGTGACGCTAATTCCGCTTGGAAGCAATATGAAAAATCCTTGTTAGTAGCTCCAGAGTTTCTGATCTAGTATAGCTGCTGTTATTTACTTGACATATGTTCGAGTGTTTGACGGCAGCTGACAGATCACCAGGCACTCCCCGACCAGCACATGTCATCCGCGAGACTGTGGCACAGTGTTGACGTCCAGGACCTGTCCCTTGGGGTACCGCACCGCCCCAGCGAGACTGCCTCGCGCCCAAGCCAGGCACTCACTCGAGGTCCTTCAGGACCTGCTGCACCGCGGGCACCGAGCGACAATGCACCAGCTCCAGCAGGGTCGTGCCTCGCTTGAAGTGGCCGCAGGATGTGGCGACGTTGACCGCCGTCTCCACCTTGTCCCCCGTCAGCACCCACACCTGGCGGTTCCGCAAGTGTGGCCACGAGTCAATGCACTGTTGGCTGCAAGACCATCGCCTTTCAGGCACAGATCGCGGCCAGCATTAGGCAAGCGGAGGAAGCGGTCAGCAAAACGAAAGAATACAGCAACTAGGTAGATTCCTAGTCTTAACCATGAAAAGTGATCAGAGTGAAGCGGACGGAACAAAGAAAAAACGAACGACAAGAGACACACCGCAAAGATTTGGGAACAAGCTTTAGCGGAAATGTAAGTCAACGCTCCAAGCGCTGTCAGGTCCAGGTCTCCAACAGTCACACCGCTGTGCTGGGCCTGACAAACCACGGTCGCTGGTGTGGCGCTCCCGAGCCTCGCCGCCCACACGCCACCGTCGGACGTCCCACCTTGACGCCGGCGGCGCGGAGCGTCTCCAGCGTCTCGGGCACGCCCTCCTGCAGCCGGTCCTCCACACCGGTGGCCCCCAGCAGCTCCATGTCCGACTCGATCTGTGAGCTCACGGCCTGAGAAGCACACCGGCACAGGACGTCACGGGCGAGAGCTGTAGGCACGGGCCCTTGGTCGGACGTGAGCCCGCACAGGACGTCACGGGCGAGAGCTGTGGGCACGGGCCCTTGGTCGGACGTGAGCCGGCACAGGACGTCACGGGCGAGAGCTGTGGGCACGGGCCCTTGGTCAGACGTGAGCCGGCACAGGACGTCACGGGCGAGAGCTGTGGGCACGGGCCCTTGGTCGGACGTGAGCCGGGGGGTTGCGCTTAGTCGGACTTAAGTCTGAAAGCCGTGGGCTAGGGACCGGTACTAATGCAAGTGTTGTGGTTGCGAGTTGCGGTGAAACTGCTGAAGTAGTGGAGATCGAGCATACTTCATGGCGTTGCCTAAATATTGCGTTGAAAGCTCTTCGCGTGAATGGCACTCAAGCTACCCATGCGCTGCTTATCACAAAAATTACGAATCATCGAATGTTAATTGGTCATTCGAAGGCAAATAACCCAAATCAAGACAGGGCGCATGGATACTGACAGGGAAGCCCGATGCACAAAGAGTGGCTTGCAGCAAACTGAGTCGATGATGTTATAGGAGGCAATACGGCCATGTTTGTCCACAACAGCCGTGAACGATCTGATCAACATGATCTGTGAACAGGTGATCTCAGAAATCCATTCAATCAAAAGGCTTGGACCAAATCCTCAAGATAAAACAAAAAACGTCACCAATTAAAATGTTCTTTCTTCACAGTTTCAAACTAGAACTATTTAATCTAGAGTGACAAATGTTCTCTTCATGGTGTACAAATCTCATTTGACGGTTTTTGCCATGACATTTCTCACCAGATTTGTTCACGCCACTCCGTGAAACAAGGGGGCCGGGGGAAGCCGTGGCTTCGCATGGCCCACTTCTTACATTTCGTTTAAAGAAGCCTTAGGCCAATGATGTATACACTGACCACTGCCCCATATCGTGATGCAGTGCATGCATAAACTTTCAAGAGTGATCTAATTATCATGTGCTATGCCGTTCCTACCTCATGCTTTCATTGTCCAAACGAGAAAGAAAACCATTTCCAGGCGTCGCGACGTGGCGAAGTGTCACGCGTTCAAATGTTAGTGTGAACTGAACAGCATGGTAAATACCAGGGTTATGTAACGGTTATGCAAGGTCATGAGGATTCCGTAAAGGGTTTTGAGGCAAAACGAGGGTTATGGAAACGGGAAATAAGACCGTCTGCAGACCTCGTGAAGAGACAAAGTGCGACGCATTCCACTGGTAGTGTAAACTGAGCCGTATGATAGGCTAGACGTGAAGGCCTGAGCGGTTGGTAAATGACATCTCAGCGCGAGTACTTAAAGGGACGTAAATTTTTGAATCGTAAATTTTTGAATCGTAATAAATCGTAAATTTTGAACGTAAATTTTTGAATCGCCCATTTGATGGGGTAAGTTCGCACCAGGATATTAAAGAGGTGCTGGTTCTGGATTGCCTGCCAATTTCATTAACTTGATGGTTATTTAATAGTAAATGTCGGGTCATGGTAACTGCCCCCGATGTAAGGCACATCGTTTCGACCAACTGCGGCGGTTCTTCAGAGTTTATCACAAGGAGATCTCACTTGTGACGAAAGAATTGGGTATCAAGTTGTTAAGAATGCCATTCCACTGTCATGAATGCAGACAACACAAAGACATTCCACAGAACCCCTCTACGTGGCATTCATGACGTAACAGCTTTTCCGCGAATAGCCGTGGCATGTTGCGTTGTAAGTCTGCTTCCCAAGCGTTTCTGTCTCCCGAATTAAATTCCGCTACACATTGGGCATAAATGCAGATAGTAGCAGATCGCACATTATTTTACAGATGGGTTGGGACCAGGTATTAGTATCACGGATGGAATAATTGTTCGAGCCATCGTCCTCGTCTGGTGTTTTAGTAAGGTTACGACGCATCGGTCAGTTAGCTCTTCGGCCTTAACCATGTAATCCCAAAAAGAGCTGGATGGTGCTTGGTTTTCAATCGAGTATGCGTCACAACTCGAATTTTCTCCTTGAATCGATATAACTCGAACCGGGGTCTCCTGGCTACCAGTCAAGTGCTCTATCAGCTGAGCCACCAGGTAGCCGGCTCCAGTCAAGTGCTCTATCAGCTGAGCCACCAGGTAGCCGGCTCCAGTCAAGTGTTCTATCAGCTGAGCCACCAGGTAGCCGGCTCCAGTCAAGTGCTCTATCAGCTGAGCCACCAGGTAGCCGGCTCCAGTCAAGTGTTCTATCAGCTGAGCCACCAGGTAGCCGGCTCCAGTCAAGTGCTCTATCAGCTGAGCCACCAGGTAGCCGGCTCCAGTCAAGTGTTCTATCAGCTGAGCCACCAGGTAGCCGGCTCCAGTCAAGTGTTCTATCAGCTGAGCCACCAGGTAGCCGGCTCCAGTCAAGTGTTCTATCAGCTGAGCCACCAGGTAGCCGGCTCCAGTCAAGTGCTCTACCAGCTGAGCCACCAGGTAGCCGGCTCCAGTCAAGTGCTCTATCAGCTGAGCCACCAGGTAGCCGACTCCACCAACTGTTCTTTCCGTTTAGTAAGGGCGACATTTTGTTCCAAAGATTGCGGGGCGAGGGGTGCGACCGTGTCACGCGGTGATGCAACACGGTGGTAGCTGGTGCAGCCTGGTCACCACCCGCTTGCCCACTGACCATTACAGACGATCCACATAAACACGATCTGCGGCGCTCGAACCTGCGGCTCATCACAAAACGGCTGGTGCCAGTCGCCCTACCATCTGGGTTACAGGGCTACACCTGCTAATTAAAAGACCCCCTCTTCAACAAACGACCATCGATCCTGGTGAAACCCTCCGATTCCATCAGCATACAGGTCGACCTCGAACTCCATGGAGCGACACCAGCTCCCCTGGGGCAGGCGTGCGTACTGACCCGGACGGCCTCCTCGCGGTTGTGCAGAGCAGCCCGCGCCCTGTTCAGCTCCTGGGAGAGCTGGTCCAGCTGACAGCGGCTCAGCTCGCGCCAAGCGAACACCAGCGTGCGCAGGCCCAGCTGCAAGGGGTGGCGCGGCTGGTCAGTCGGTGCCGCGCGAAAGGCGTGTCTGATCAAACATGAGCTCGTGGTGATCAGTGAGCTGTGGCCGCACACCAAGTGGTGCTTTATTTCAACTAGCGTGCAGACTGCTTAAACATTTGGGCGAGCTCGCTAGGTGTCTGAAGCCCTTTACCCAGTACAGCACTTGCAAGTCACTGCAAGGTACAATCTCTTCAACTCAACTCAGAGCTAAGAAAAACATCAGCGCACGGACGATACCAGACATTGTGTCAAAACGGTACCGACTGGAAGCCTTTTTTCCTCTGCACTGCACAAAAAACGCGATTTGTTCATAAATTATCTGCATATAACACAAGACTGTGACCGTGCCACGAGCACCTGAACGAATTATGGAGTGACTACAGAGCCTTACAAACACGCTGACTCATTAACGGTACTTAACTCGGATAGAATCAGGCAATCATCACAAAAACATTGTTCAAATCATCACTAATCGAATTTCGAAGAAGTTTAATGCTCCAAAGGTCATAAAGAGGCACGGATGAATTCATGCGTAGCTGAAAATGAAGTCGCTGTCAATTACCGGTTCTCATTTTATACGTGCCATGAAATAAAGTTCCAAACGTAGGTAATAAAGTTGGACACGTTAACACACTGTAGCGGTCAAGGTTTCCTGTCAGTTCAAAAGAAACAACTAAAAATCTTCTTTCAGGACTGCATGACCTGGTACACAGGAAGTATACACATAAAAACACAATGGTCCCGTAATATATACAGCAGCGTACGACACGCATTCGTACATCTGCACTGTATCTAAGAAGCCGCGCCACATGTTAGCTGGGCTCTAGCACGTATTCTACCACACACGGTAGAGCCAGGTATCACCAAACGTGGCCAGCCACCGCGCCGTGGGACTCACCGCATAGGCTCAGGTGCGCGACAAAAATGTGTTCACGTAAAAGACGTTGGCGTTCGTTACTTCGCGACAGGCCGTCGGGCGGCAAGCAAAACGCACCACCAGGTGCGAAATGAAATGTCCTGCGGTATACGGAATGCTCAGAAGTGCCGTCTTTACCCCGCCTTTGAGTGCACGCAGGCCAGTGATGAGACGGGCCGGGCTGATGATCGGGACACCTGGGCTGATTCACCGTCACAGAGAGGTTTGAATGGCGCCTCTTGCCCTCAGCGGGTGACGGCGCCACATGACGTAGGAGCAACATGCGGCAACAAATATTCCAACATTCCGTACCACGTTCATCCGCACATTTGTTCCAATCAGCCCGATAACTGGCCATGTCAGGGGTATACAACGCCTGACATCTGCGGACGCCGCGGAGTCCGGACGCGCGCGGCTTACTAAGGCGTAGTAGTTGACGTGTTGAACGGTAGTCAGCTTGTCACCGGCAGAGCACTGGCTGAGCACCGCGCTGTCGGCGCCCTTGCAGAGCACCATGACACGGCCGCTGGCATCCTCCACTATCACCGACATTCGCTTCCGGTCTGCGAACGGCAGCGAACGGAATGTGCAGCGCTCTGCGCGGCCCCGCAGCGGCGCGCGTGCGCTCACACGGTCAGGCCCTGGGTGGCATCGGGTGCGCGGGGTTTTGTGCTCCTATGCGGCCACACGGGAACCGCTGCACGTCTGCGGAATGTTGCCAGGGCACTCCAACAACAAGTGCGGGTATCACGTCCACGAGCTCCTGCGACTAAGCTCCGAAGGACGCCGCGCGACGCCAGGACAGTAACAGGCCGTGCGCTAACAACGCACGCACGCAGGTACTCACACTTGCAAAGGGCAACATACGGCGCCATCTGTTGGATTGCGGTGCGGTGCGGGCTTAGAAAGGAAGCTTAACAATGCAGACTTATTAAAACGTTACATAAGGACGTCCACATACGTGGCGTGTTGGCCAGACGTATTGCTGCTGTTCAGCAATTAATCTCGCATTGTAGGTCCACGCCGTGACGTGACACCTGTGTCGCATTAGCGACAGTGGTGCTGAGAGCGGTGACGCGTTTTGAGGTCGGTCGGGCGGTTTTGTTTCGAGACGGTGCAGTCACAAAGGGAAAGTATGTTATTAATGATCATGGCGCGAAGCGCATCTAGTCAAAAACTTGCATCAAAGGAACACAAAACCACTCGGTTTTTGCCCTTAAGACAGTACAGGGGACACACTGCACCAAAAATAAATCCACCAGCGCAGGGCACCAACTGGCCGACGTCACGCAAAAATGTCTGCAAGCCATCCCGATGACCGATTGCCATGTTGTGGACGGCAGCGAGTGAAGGTCAGGAGAAGGTCGCGGCTCCGCGTGGATGCCGGACCAGCCCCCCCCCCCTCCCCGCCCCTTGACTCGCGCCCACTCAAGATGGAGCGGTGACCTTGAGGGGAGCGGCGAGCCTCGCTAACCCCCGCCCCACGGCGGCGGGGGCGGGTGACCGTGCCAGTCGGCCCGCTGGCGTGTTCGCCATCCGCTGCTGAATCGTTCTGGGCGTTACCCGAGAAGTCCGCAAGTTCAGGATTCGAGGGATTTCAGGAGCAGAATTTGCTCCCCGTGCGTTAAAACGCAAGAAATGCGAAAGGGGCGAGATGAGCACGTGTAGTGCCACGCACAATGAGCGCACGCGCGTGTTCGATCAACGTTTGCATCAGTACGCACGAGATGGCGCTGGTATGCTGTCGCTTTCAATCGTGGGCATACCGCCAGCACTAATGGATGCGATTCAGAACGCTGTCCAACGCAAACAACCGCAGTTTATTGGCGGCGCTGTTATCTTCACTGCGCACGTACACGTGACGGATACTTACCCGGGTCAAATTCGAGCACGTTCAGTCGCCTGTAGCGTCGCACTTCGCCCCTGACTGTGATCTTGCACACGTCATCGGTGATTCCACCGAACACGACGCCGAACCTGCAACGGCAGACCTTCGTGACAGCTGTACGCGACACAATCCTGACATCACATTCCATGTTTCGCCACCAATTGAAATAATCGCTGCCGCGCGAAATAATCGCTGCCGAGGAGTGAGGGCGGCAGGCCGTGCTTCTAAGCATAAACGTGCAGTCACACAGCTGTCTCGTGTCTGCCTTTGAATATGTGGAACATAACATTGGGTTATTTGGAGCGTACAGCCGGCAGCACATAACGTTTATTATAAAACGTGCCGTCAGCCTCTGAGTGTGCTTGCGTGTTGTGAGCCTTGCGCGCTGTCGCGCTGAGGGCTGTGTGGAATCTCGGGCGCCATTTTAAAGTGCCTCGTCTTTTAATTTCACCGCCATACACGGACATTTTCACATTGGAGTTTGTTCCTGCAGCTGCATGCACACATATACACAGGTGAGACAGGCGTGCTAAAAATAAAGTACGGCCGCATGCGACGATACCAGAAATTAATTCCACATGTTCAAAAGCTTATCTACACGCACACGCAGCACGCACGCACACACTCACATGTAAATATATATATATATATATATATATATATATATATATATGTGTGTGTGTGTGTGTGTGTGTGCGTGCGTGCTGCGTGTGCGTGTAGATAAGCTTTTGAACATATGGAATTAATTTCTGGTATCGTCGCATGCGGCCGTACTTTATTTTTAGCACGCCTGTCTCACCTGTGTATATGTGTGCATGCAGCTGCAGGAATATATATTATAGATATTATATATATATATTATTATATATTATATATATATATATAATTATGGTGTGTGTGTGTTGTGTGGGTGTGTGTGTGTGGGTGTGGTGGGTGTGTGTGTGGGGGGGTGTTGTTGTGCGCGTGTGTGTGTGTATGAATGGGTCGTCCATACATCACATATATTATATACATGCGATATGTCATAATTTTTCAATATATATAGATGGATATGTATCTCTCTCTCTCTCTCTCTCTCCTCTTCTCTCTCTCCTCTCTCTCTCTCTCTCTCTCTCTCTCTCCTCTCTCTCTCTCTCTCTCCTCCTCTCTCCTCATCTCTCCTCCGCTCTCCTCCCTCTCGCTCC